CCTCCTCCTCCTCCTCCTCCTCCTCTTCCGCCCGCAGGCCCAGCGGCGGCTCCAGGAGGAGCGCCTCGGGCTGGAGGAGCGGCTCTCGGCGAGCGCGGCCGAGGCGGCCTTGCCCCCCCTCCCCCCAAGTCTCGGCCGCCCGCGGCGGGCTGCCAAGGGCTTGGCATCGCCTCGACGTGAACGTTTTTTTCTCTCGGCGGGGGCCATCGATAGGGGACAGAACAATGACAGATAAACATAATAACTCGGAGGTCCGCGCGTATTTTCCGCATCGGCACCAGGGCCCCCCGGCGGCGCCTCTGGCGCCGCCCCTGGCGCGCTCCACGCGCCAGGGAGGGGGGGTACAGCGCGGATCCAAGAAATCCGCGCGGACCTCCGAGGTGTTATGTTTACACGTCATTGCTCGTGCCCCCCCTAATCGAGCGGCACTGGGGGACATGTTGCGAAAGAGGCACACGCACGAAACCAAAAGAAGAGGCGCGGGGACTGGAAGCCCGAGCGGCGGCGAGAAGGATGGGGGGGAAAGGGCCTTCTGGGAGGGCCTGCAGGGGCAGCAGCACGGCAAGACGCCGGAGCGGCAGTGCGTGGGCGCCCCCGTCGCGACCTTCGGCTCGACGGCCGGCGGCCTCCCTGGGGCTCGTTTCGGTGCCTCCGATTCGATTCGACTTCGACTTCGGCGGCTTCCGATTCCGATTCGATTCGACGGCGCTGCGTTCTGTGAGCGCTGCGCCTGCCACGTCGGGGAGTCGGGTAAGGTGGTGGCCCTCAAGCGGCCCTGCAAGGGCCCCTCGGACTACCCCCCGACCCTAGCGGTGCAGAAGCACCGTATCAAGAGGATGCGGGAGGGCAAGCCACCGCGATAGTGGTTGGTTGTCAGCCCCTCCCCATCCCTCCTCTTCATTTAGCGTTTGCGTTCGGGTAACTTGGACGCACTCTGGCTTGTCTCTCTTCGGATTCCAATTTGGGCTCCGATTTCTCATTGGAGGCCCACTAAACTGCAGATTCTTCGCCGATTCGGCTCTTCCCGATTCGGCTGTCGACTTTCGCCGATCCGATTGATTTCGATCACCGATCCGACTTCTCAATGGAATTCTGGGCTCTCCTGCCTCCCCGCGTAGAGCCCAGGCCGGCAGCGAGCTGCCTGCGTCTCGGGCACGCACCCCGCAGCGCAGCGGAGTGCGCCTTGAGCCCAAGTGGGCGACGGGGGGGGGGAAAAAAGAACAAAAAAACGGGGTCGTCTGCGCCGACATCGGCGCGTAAGCTGCCCGCGCAGGGTCGCGCGCAAGCGCCCTCGTCTCCAATGAAGCGTGCCGCGTTGACGGCCCGCGTAAGCACCCGCGTAAGGTCGCTACGCCATCTCGCGTAAGACCCGTTTCTTTTCGCCGCTCAGGTGGCCGAGTCCAGAAGCCTTGAAAACAAAAATGTGCCCGGCGCGACCCCAAGCAGCGGTATCATGTCTTCCAGGGCAGTTCGAGGCAGTTCTGAGCTGCAAGGTATCGCTGGCGTTGCTTGGTGTTGCTTGGCAGTGCTTGGCATTGAGTGGCGTTGCTTGGCGTTGCTTGGCATTGCGTGGCATTGCTTGCCGTCGAAGAGGTGACCCACCCCAAGACGGTGCAGTGACCCAACCGTCGGGTGAGTCGTGGGGATTCGGGGTGGGCGGGCGATTTGGGTACCCGGGTCGTTCTCCGAGAACGTCTCGGGCGAGTGGGGCCTCCAAGGTCCCCAGACAGTGCGGCGGCCGACCATGTGGTGAGGTCTCTTGGGATTTCGAGGTCACCGCTGTCACCAGAGCGTTTCGGGACCCCCAATCCCGGATGAGGGCACAACGGCGGCTCCACCGCCCGCCCGGCCTCAGAGCTTTGGCCTTCGTCTCAGTCTGTCCCCCATCTGTGCGGTCGTCCTCGTAGCCAGAAGCCGAAAGGCCGCCACTGCAGAGGCTTCTTTGACCACCTTCCCTCTGTGCTGTCCTCTGGTGCTGAGCGCAGCGCAGCTCTGCGGCTTCGCTGCAGTACAGCCCGAGTGAATGCAGCCTTCTCGCAAACCGTCTCGGCTTTGCGCGTGGCCCTCACTATCCAGTCTACCCATGGCTCCGACTCCGCGTGGCCAGGGTGCCAAAATTGCAGTCTCGGAGGTTGGACAATTGTCCGGAGCATCCGTCGCCGTTCGCTTGTAGCCTTTGTTCCCTTTCCGATGTCATTGTCCAGTACTGTGGAGGTGATGACGGCGTCGACGCGCTTCAGCCGAGAGATGTGAGAGAATAACGCTTGGTCCCGAAAGCTGCCCACCCTTTATCCAACTGGTGTAGGATCTCGGCGTCATGGAACTCCGCCGAAGCACAGATCGCCCAAGCTATATGCACCACCGGACCCGTGCGACAAGACCTTGAAAAAATATCCTCCCCTCCATGGGGAGCCGAACACAAACGCACGAGAAACGCCACGGAGGACCGCCGTTGCCTCGGCTGACCTCCTCCGGAGTCCAGGCCTCCTCCCCAGCGGCAGGCTCCAGCCGTGTCGACGCGGCGGCGACCCCCGCGCCGGCGGTCAGGGTCGGAGGCGGTCTGTGGCCCGGGGTCGGCTCAAGAGGGGATACGCCAGCCCCACATCACGGGCGTCGTGGGGCCTTCGAGTGAACCAGAAATTTTGGGCCCAGCCCATGGTTGTACGATGGGGGGCGTCCATCTTCGACAGGGGTGCGTCCGAATGGCCCCCTGCTCCCCCCCCACTTTTCAAGCGGCACTCGGGGATGGGTAGGGGGACGAAAAATGGCATAAACATAGAAACTCGGAGGTCCGCGCGGATTTCTCGCATCGGCGCTGGGGCCCCCTGGCGGCGCCTCCGGCGCCGCCCCTGGCGCGCTCCGCGCGCCAGAGAGGAGGCCCCAGCGCCGAAGCGAGAAATCCGCGCGGACCTCCAAGTTCTTACGTGTACTTCATTGCTCGTTTCCCGAATAGGGGGGGGGGAGGCAGGCAGGCAAGAGCCGCGCCCTGACGGCGCATCAGCAGAAAGTAACACGCTGAAGACATACCTGAACACATGTAGGAAGATATGCGTGTAGACGCAGTGCCTCGGTGGGCATTCCGGAGCATCGCGAGGGAGAGCCGCAGCCGTACACGAGGAAATCGCTTGCGACGACGCGCTCTCGGAGAGCAGCCGACTCCAGCCCGGCGGGCCTTGGCGGCGCGTCGGGGCGGGAGGCGAGAGTCGACCAGACGTAAGAGTGACCTTTCGCCGGAGCGGCCTCTGGTGCGGGCACAGGTGAGTCCCCAGATGGCTGAAGGCGAAGCAGCAGCAGCAGCAGCAGCAGCAGCTGGTTGCGCGCCCAGGTTTGGCCCCCCGCGGCCCCCAAAAAGCCGCGCACCAAAGGTCACTCTTACCCAGGTCACTCTTGCGTATAGCCAAGAGATGGGGCAGGCCTTCTCGGAAGGCGAAGCGGGGCTTCTCTGAAGTCGGGCACGTCCCTCTACAGGAGGAATGCAGAAATACACCAAAACATAGTCGGGTGACGATTTTGATTTAACATGTTTGACCATTTCTGAGTATCCGTTTTTGACTATGTGCTATTTTTCGTCCAAAAACCGCCCGTAGGGGGAAACGCCCGACCTAAGGCTTCTCAGAAGCCCTCCGGCCAGCTGAGGAGCCCTCCGCGGCTGCGGGGGAGGCCCAGAAGGCTCCTCGGCGAGGCCTTCTGAAAAGGCCCGCCCCATCTGCCGCCCCCCTGGGGCGCGCCGCGGCTGGCATCCCTCGGACGTGTGCCCTGTCCTTGGCGAAGACCATCGAGGAGTACCCAGGATCATCTTGCAGAAGAAAGCACGCACGAGATCTAACCAAAACAAAAAAAGAAACGGGGCATGGAGGTCCGAGCGACGGCAAACCCGGTAGGGTTAGATTTAAGCCGGGCACGTCCTTCTACAGGAGGCAAAGTCAAGAATTGTCACAACAGTCTGGGGACGAGTTTTCTACAACTTCTGGAGTCGTCCTGAAGATTTACTGGGTATTGTTTACTTGTCTTCCAGAATCCGCCTGTAGGAGAACATGCCCGACTTACGATTGTCGGGCCAGGCGAAAGGGGGGGATTGGGAAAGGGGGGGTTACGAAATTTGCTGCACGCAGCTGGTTTCGGCCTCGCCGAGGGGCCCATTTCTCGATACATAGCCGCCTCCAGCGCCGGGAGGCGCCGGGAAAATCAGCTACGTGAGCTGATTCTCAAAGCCCCCCTTTGCTATCCCCCCCTTTCGCCCGACCCGAGATTGGGGTGGACCTCAGGCTCCTCTCCCGCAGCGCACCTGCGGCTGGGGAGGCCGGTGCCCGTGCAGGCCGTCACGGGCGGTCCTGCGCCGGGCCCGACGTGTCCTCCCGGCGAGGTCGCAGGTGATTGCCCCGCGTGGCAGTGCGAAGGTCTCTTCGTGTGTTACGTGTTCTGTGCGCGGCAGGGCCGCCAGTTCAGGAAGGCAACGATCGGGTTCGGAGGAGGAGGGAGAGAGGAGGAGGAGGGAGCAAAGAGGAGGAGGAGGAGGAGGAGGAGGAGGAGGAGGGGCAGGAATAGGAGGAGGGGCAAGGGGGAGGGGGCAGGGGGGGACGGAGAGGCTCGCCGTCTCCAGCTTCCCCCCCTGGCCCTTCTCTCACTCTCATCTCGTCGGGAGAGATGATCAGATCATCCGTATGATCGCGTATGTCGAGCGTGCTCAGTACACAGTCGTGCCCCGTATCCTCCCAGCCCCAGCCTCCCTGCCCGATAAGGTTGGCTTCCTGGCCAGTCAGGAACCACTGCCCTGGATCGCCATCGTCCCGTTCCGTTCCGTTCCGTCGCCATTCCAGGACCTCTCTTCCTCCTCCGCCTCCTCCTCCTCCTCCTCCTCCTCCTCCTCCTCCTCCTCCTCTCCTCCTCCTCCTGCTCCTCCTCCTCTTCCTCTCCTCCCTCCCTCCCGTCCCTCCCTCCCTCCCTCCCTCCGCTCCTTCCCTCCCATCCTCCCTCCCTCCTCCTCCCTGGCTCCTCCTCCTCCTCCTCCTCCTCCTCCTCCTCCTCCTCCTCCTCCTCCTCCTCCTCCTCCTCCTGCCTCCCGCCCCGCGGCACCGAGAGCGCAGGTCGCGGCCCTGGAGGAGAGACTGGCGCGGGAGGCGGCGGAGGCCCAGAGGCGGCTCGACGAGGCGCGGCGGGCGTGCTGTCTCTCCCCCTGCGGGGGGGCCACCGCGCGGTCGGCCTCCCCAGACGTCAAGCGTTAAGTCGGGTCCGTCCCTCTACAGGAGGAATGTTCAAAAATGGTCAAAAAATTGTCTGGGGATTATGTTTTGAGTATTGTATGGCCATGTTGGAGCATTTTTGGGGTATGTTTGATTTGTCGTCGAAAACCCCCCTGTAGGGGGACAGGCCCGACCTGAGACAAGCGTCGTCAGTTCTCGTCCTGTTCCTGGCGCCAACATCGCAGATCGGATTTCGTTCGGAAACCAAAAAGATGGGCCCAGCGTGTCCTGGAGAATTTCGTCACGAATTGTTCGAAGTGAGTTTCGTGCGGATTTTTTGTGGCCGGCAATGAAGACCAACAAAAAATCAGCGTGGTATCCATTTCGTTTTTTGCTTGCCGTTTCGGGGGGGGGCCTCGACAGAAATCCATGCAAAAATCCGCTACACCACGTCTGCAAGGTCGGTGCAGTGGTCATGTTCTCGTCAACTGGGGGTCGTTGTGCTATCCGTAAGGGCTTCGCCCCCTGCCGCCGGCCCCCTCTCTCGGAGAATGGGCCATGGAAGAGCAGGTTTTGGACCCTGACCCCGCGGATCTGCGTGAGGGGTGGCACCGAATTTCAGAAATGTGGCAAATCCCCTTTGTTTTTGGACCCTGACCCCGCGGATCTGCGTGAGGGGTGGCACCGAATTTCAGAAATGTGGCAAATCCCCTGTGTTTTTGGACCCTGACCCCGCGGATCTGCGTGAGGGGTGGCACCGAATTTCAGAAATGTGGCAAATCCCCTGTGTTTTTGGACCCTGACCCCGCGGATCTGCGTGAGGGGTGGCACCGAATTTCAGAAATGTGGCAAATCCCTGTGTTTTTGGACCCTGACCCCGCGGATCTGCGTGAGGGGTGGCACCGAATTTCAGAAATGTGGCAAATCCCCTGTGTTTTTGGACCCTGACCCCGCGGATCTGCGTGAGGGGTGGCACCGAATTTCAGAAATGTGGCAAATCCCCTGTGTTTTTGGACCCTGACCCCACGGATCTGCGTGAGGGGTGTCGATTTCGAGCCCCCCCAGCAATTCAGACAACGCGCTCAGGTGGTGCTAAAAATCTGGTTTGGGCCTCCCTCCCCTCGCGCAGTCAATCAACTAGTTACAATAACCAGCAAGAAGCAGAACTGTAACACTGGAAACTACAAACTACAACTGGTACAGGAAACTGCGAATCGCGGGCCTACAGCCTGGTGGCCCCACAAGGGGGCCGGCGGATCTTCGTCCAAGGCGGCGGTTGTTCGGTCACGTTCGTGCAAGACGTTCAACGTCGTGAAGAAAATGCGGCGTTGTCTTGTCATGTGTTGGGAGGCATATGGAGACAGTTGTTCAAGCCTTGGGGCCGTCAAGAAACAGCGACTCGGGACGAAAAGCCGGCCCGAGGACCCCGTATGCCAAAGAAGTGCAGAGATCAGATCTTCGGGACCCCTCCGTGCTAGAGTTTGCCACCCTCCGTCCCCCGGGGAGTCGGGCAGCACAAAGGGGGCTCATCACCAGGGGGTCACCAACTTCATTTGGAGATCGGAGAGGGTCGAGGATCGAAATGGTGTTGCACGCTCTGAGGTGTCTCTAGGACCTCGGGGGGCTTGGCATCGCTCGGACGTGTGCATGTTGTCTTCGGCGAGGGCCACCGAGGAGCATCGCAGATGATCTGGCAAAAGCAAGCGCGCACGAAACCAAAAAATGCATGGGGAATGGACGTCCGAGCGATGGCAAGGGGGTCTGGGGGATCCAGGGGGGGTCCGTCTCTTGCAGGAGAGGTGGCACCCCCTGGCGGTTCCCCCCCACTGGCAGTGCCCGGCAGAGAGCAGGGCCCATTTCGGTCCGATCGATTCGAGTGGATATCGGCCTTGCCTGGCCCGATCCGAGTCCTCCTCCTCCTCCTCCTCCTCCTCCTCCTCCTCCTTCGCCTCCTCCTACTCCTCCTGGGCCTCCCAGGCCTCCTCCTCCTCCTCCTCCTCCTCCTCCTCCTCCTCCTCCTCCTCCTCCTCATCATCATCATCATCATCATCATCATCATCATCATCATCATCATCATCCTTGGGATTCCAACGATCCGATGCGGTCCAGTGCTTGCGTGGGCGCTGTAGCACGCCCCGGCGCTGCCTGCGAATTCGACTCGGCTCCAGCTTCGTGAAGATGCGGCCCGATGCGATGCACGTTTACATTAGAGCCGATTTGGCGATCCGATGCTGACCGCCGGCCGCTCCTGGAGGGCCGCCAGCGGGAGGAAAGGGTCTGAAATCACAATCCTCATTAGCAGCAGCAGCGGCCAGCATCAGCAGCATGATTATCATTCCGTCATCGGCAGCCTCATCATAGCCAACGTGATCGCCAGCATGATCACCATCAGCACGGCCAGAACACGTCGCTGAAGTCGGCGGCGAGCCCAGGGGGAAGGTAAGAAGGAACGGGCCTTCTCAGAAGGCTCGGAAGTCCCTTTGCTTTCTGAGAAGTTCTCTAAGCCTTCACCGAAGGCATTGGAAACCTCTCAGAAGGTGCGAGGGCTTCTGAGAAGTCCTGCCGCCTTCTGAGAGGGCCTTCCCCTTCCCACTTCCCTCCCTCGCTCGCCACCGAGAGGGAAAGTGCTCCCTGTTTTGCGGGAGGGGGCTTCCAGAGAGGTGCCCTCGTCGTCATTGCTGCATATCCGTTTTGGAAATTCGGTCGGAGCGTTCACCAGGAGAGGTCCAGGGGCGCGTTCGACGGAGGGGGCGCGAGTGAGAAGGAGGAGGAGGAGGAGGAGGGCAGCGAAGAAGGAGCAGGGATGAGGAGAAGGAGGAGGAGTAGGAGGAGCAGGAGCTGGGTGGGGGCCGAGGGTGTTCGAAAGTTCTCGTCTGCTCTTCTCCGAGCAGCTTGCCTGTGCGGGTCCTCTATATATATTTGGTTCCCGTGGCGAGAGGGCGTCCTGCGCGACCCAAGATCTGTGGACCGTGGTCCTCTGCCCGTGGCCCATGATATCGTCGTCGTCGTCGCCGAGGAGGCGGAGGCCACCCGCCGTCGTGGCCTCGAGGTCGTGGCACGTGGCCTCTGATAAGATCGCACGGTATTCAGGCGGGCACGTCCCTCTACAAGAGGAGTATTCAAGAATACTCCAAACATACTCTGGGGACGATTTGTGCTAAAATGTTTGACGGTGTTTGAATATGTTTGCGTAATTTTGAAGGTTCGTCCAAAATCCCCCTGTAGGGGGACACGCCCGACCTAAGCATAGCACCGTGTTGCGTACTCACAGCTATAGTCTGCGAAGTAGAGCTCAAGGTCTGCATCACCTCCACTCCACTCCACCCCACTCCCCTCCTCCTGTCCACCCACCCCATCACCTCTACCCCCCCTCGTCCTCCCCCCATTCAAACCTCCCCTCTGCGCCAGACCCCCCCTCCCCCCTGCAGCAGGAGGAGGAGCAGCAGCAGCAGATGCACCAGCAGGAGGATGAGAAAGAGGAGGAAGAGAAGGAGAAGAAAGATGAGGTAAAAGAAGGGAAGCAAAACGCGGAGCAGAAGCAGATTCCGCATGAGGAAGATTAGGACGACGACGAACACCACAACGACAACCATGACGACGGCGACGGCGATGGAGAACGCGACCTGACGACGGCAACGACGGCGGCGACACGGCAGGCTAGTGGCCAGGGTGCCGACGCGATCGCGGCGGAGCGCCGTGCGCGCGAAGAGGCGCTGGAGGAGGCCCGCGCGCAGCAGGAGCGCCCTCCACCGAGCGGGGGGCGGAGGTATACTGCGCCACCTTAGGGCCTCCAGCGAGTGGGCGATATTGTTCATATCACAAATACGTATACTGACCTATTGCTTCGTCTGCAGTTGCGATTCGAATTAGACATTAGAGTGCTGCAGGTACGACTTCCGGGTTACAGCGATTACAACGCGTTCTCCGACACCGGTTACTTACTCCTTTTCGGGCTACGACGACGACGACGACGACGACGACGACGACGACGACGACGACGACGACTACTACTACTACTACTACTACTACTACGACTACAACTACGACTACGACTACTACGACTACTACTCTTACTACTACTACTACTACTACTACTACTACTACTACTACTACTACTACTAGGATTGCTACTACTACGGCAACGACTACTACAACTACAACT